TTACATGACAATTTAAGGTGTCACCAATGACAAACCTTCAAAAACACATCAAATCATTTGAAACCACGCAGTGGAAAAACATTTCATAGCAACTTCATGTTTAAAGTAATAAACTTCAAACAACAAAATCAACATCAACTCAAATACATAATGAATATAGTCTCCGATGTTACATGAAAAGAGAAATATAAACCACTAATGTAGGATAAAGCGATAAATAAAGAAAATAAAGAGTAGCTCCAACAAGATACCTTCCACACACAGCAACAATGCTCACTCCTGATTATCTGCAAGATGTTCATGGTGGATAATATAAAGCAAATGGGTGAGAAACAACATTCAATATGAACAGTATAAAGAATGTGAAGATAGAGAATCATACAACATGTCACACATTCAATACACAATCAACATCACCATCAACTCACACCCAAGCATAACTATATACAATTATATCCATACAATGTAACTCACAAAACAACATGACACTTATGCATGTAGTACCATTATGGACAACAAAGGCCCATCTCGCTCCTGAATCCCAACCATAGGACCAGAGCACACCAATTCACTACTATCACCATAAGTAACTATTCAACGATTTCCACCTGGAACCAGCTACCTGCTCCATAATCCACACCATCGGACCAGAGCACATCAAAATTGGATTGAAGCCCGTGCACCATGAAACACAATTTTTAACAACATGAATTATCACCAAAATAATCACCAAGTTAACATCATACCATCACTACAGTTATGCATAACATTACATTCAATACACAACAATTTATTAACGCCATGATAAATAATAAACAACATCAAACATCAACATTACATCAAATACGTATTCACACGACATTTAATCATGTTAATCATTTAGCATCAATTCCTCATTAAGTAAACACAACGATTCACAAAATCATTCATACATTTCATAATATACATTCATACAGTAAACATATATCTACACACCAATTATTTCAACAAGCACTACCACGAGGCAGCTCTGCACGTTAGCTCTCCAACGCTTCAAATGACACCTTATTTAGACATACATAACTCAAGTTATGGCCAAAATAATCAGTTAATGCAACATAGTTCAAAACAACAAATTTTCAAATTTTGGCCTAAGTCAATCGATTAACATAAAAAATGTTTACATTCTGATTTTCACAAAAATCGCTTTAAGAGACCATGCGATCGGTTAATTAGAACCAACAATAGATTGTCATGTTTTTTTTTTTTTTAATTTAACGCGTGCAATCGATTGACATAGACACTGACATTTTTTTTCCAGAAAAACTCAATTTTAACACATGATCTTCATCCCCTTCATCCCTTATCATTCATACATCATTACAACCATTATTCTTCCATTCGATTACCCCAGGACACGAATTTAATAATACACCATGTTATCACAATAGTCAAACATCTTATAACACATATATCAATCATGGTTCATGGCAATTTGTCATACGATTAGAACACCAATTTCACCAATATTCATACTCATGATCAAAGCTTCATATATTCATCAACAACAGAAAATTACATATGCATAAACCTGACGAATCAGACACGAATTCAGTCACAACCAATCAGTTATTCAACATAATCGGTCATAATTTCCAGATTTGAACACAACAATAACACATCCAAAATAGAATTATACAACTCTAATGAGAGTAATGACTTATCTTCTCTACTTTTTATGCAATACATCCATAGTGAAAACCCTTTCTCCCCCTTACCTTAGCTTCCTTGCAAAAACTCAGATTTGGATCAAATATCTCCTTCCTCCTCCAAGCTCTAGCCTTACCTTGCCTCACCTCTTTCTCCCAAAGTATGTTTTCATGTACTGACAACTCTAGGTTTCTCTCTAATCCCTTTTATTCCAAACCTAATTATTTCAACTTTTTAGTAATTCTATTTTTCTCCCCTCAGATTATCTTTTCTCTCTCCTTGTTCCCTCTATTTTCTCATTAACCCAAAATAGCTCAAACTCTTCTAATTTTCATGATTTCTCCTTTTATTTTAGTTAACTAATTAAAATAACCTCAATTTTAATTATTTCAATTATTCTATTTCTCCTATTCCTTCCTCCACCATACCAAGCCTCTCACTACACATCATCTATGCCCCACATACATATACATACTTAATTAGAAGCATATCAAATACTAAATAATAAAATAAAAATCTAAATAATTTGATTAAATAAATAAATTAAATTTCGAAGTGTTATAGCACGTGCACAACTTTGACAGTTTAGTATAAAAAGTATTGAATTCCACCTAGACCAATTGATAAGTATCGTTCTCTACTATTACAATGTTTATCAAAGCGAAGCAAATGGTCTTGATTAACAAAAGCAGAAAATAATTTGGTTTTAAATTAATTATAATGATGAGAGATTGGAATGAGATTCCCGTCGACCATTGGTATTCACAAAATCATGACTTATTTTTATAAAGAGAAAATATTTTCTTGTAGAAAAAGGATTAAGTTGAAGGTACCATCCGCTTTCGCGCGACCGATATCAGACTTTAACTCTATAATATAATTGTCTGTTTTCGTGTGTCCAACGTGTTTCAGTTCAAAACTCCTTTTGAAAAATAATAACTTTTTTTTTACTTTAAAATTTGCTTGTAGTAGAAAAATAAACTTAAAGGTGTTGTTCACTTTCGCGTAATCGATACCGAATTTTTAGACTTATAAACGTTTGTTTTCGCAAGTACGCTTATCAATAAAAATCATCTTTTTAAAAATAAGATTTTTCCAAATAATTAAAAAGTACTTTCCTTGTGATTTAAAATTAATTTATGAAATTCCTAAGTTCAGATACAAGATTCACTCTTTCGTGTTGAAATCGGTATTGCTCTATTTTTATTTTTGCAATGAATTTTAATTATAAAAATCATAATTTTTCAAACATAAATATAATTTTCGATCTAAAAATTAATTTACGACTTATTAAAACATTAAAACTTAGTATGACAATTCTCGCATTTCAATAAAAAATAAAATTTAATTCAAACATAGACATGCATAAAAATAAAGTAAAATCGAAAGAGAAATGGAACTTAAAAATTAAATTCAATATAATAATAATAATAATAATAATAATAATAATAATAATAATAATAATAATAATAATAATAATAATAATAATAATAATAATAATAATAATAATAATAATAATAATAATAAGTTGTTTCAATTAAAGACTTTAAACTAGTACAAATGCTAGAAATAAATTTGTGGAAAAATTATGCCTGCGGGATTAATGTAGCAGCAACAAATTAATACATGTTTTTCTAATTTGGGTTTTGATTGTTTCGAGGGATTTTGATAATTTCCATGTACTGATCTTTTGAGGGAGAAATCAAATTTTGTTTGAGAGAGATAACACTGTGATTTGTGTCATAGCTTGTACTGATATTTTGTAACTTAAATTTATTAATTTATATTAAATTTTCATATATTTAAATTCATTATTAAAAAATATAATTAAAAATAATAATTTTTTAAAATGTTATATTAAATGTTATAATAATTTTTAATCACAATGATATATTAATTCATTAATTTTATTTAAAAATAAATAAGACTACTCATTTAAATACATTTATATGAAATAGATTTGATCGTACCTGACTAGAGAGATCGCTGAACTGCCATACGTCTGAGCTGTCGAACTGTTGACTTGATGGACAGAGGAGGGGGGAGTGTATCTGTAACACACTCCAATGCCAAAGTAAGCGACGAGCAGAGTGATCACAAATATAGAGAGAAGAGTGAGAAAGTTAAGTTATCTGACCCTCTAGTGGAAGAAGGTATTTATAATGAACCCCCAACACAGGACCAACGGTTACCTTACGTTGGACTGGGCTGCCAGACCCAACGTTGGTAACTGTTAGGGCTGACATGACGTCGTAAAGACCAGCACGTGGTCTTCGCTCTAGGGTAACTGTTTCGTGTTATCCGAGAGGCAGAAGACCGAATCTCCAGAACGTGGGTAGTTACTTGATGACGTGTCCCTGCGTGGGGGACACGTAGAGAACGTGAGAGAGGTCTGAGGAGCTTCCCGGGCAGGCTGGGCTCTGCCCGGCAACGGGGGAGAAAGAGATTGATTGGACAGCTATGAGGGTCCCGCCCGACGACTGTTGGCATGTGCCCGACGGATCTTCTATCTGTCCGTGAGGTCCTATTGAGTTTAAATCCAGTAAAATTTGGACCTTCTCGATTGTGAGTTAAGCGTCGACGCAGTTCAGAACCTAACTTTTAAAAATATCCACCGACGTCTAAAATTTAATTTAAAATTAAGTCTTAAATTTTTAAACCAAACTAAATTTAGGTTTTGAAGGTATTAACTTTTTAAATGGATTTCCATTAATTTGAGGATTAGTATATGCAGTTGTATATAAAGATACTTTGATTTACTAAAATAAATGTGAAATTTGAATATTTTTTGTTTTTCAAAATCCTTAATTATTGTTTTTTTTAATTTAAGAATTTTGGTCTTGTAAAACTTACTATTTCTTACCCTAATTCTCAAATTTAAAATCATAATTATTTTTATTTATTTTAGGTTTTAAGATTTTAGTTTTGTGGGATTAACATTACACACCACAACATTATTAGGGGGCCATGCATGATGATAACCACATATGACTTTTTGTGGACACAAGTGATTTTCCAATGTTTACATGATAGAAACTAGAAATAATTATTTCAAAATTTGAATGGATGAAATAGAAAACTATGACATAGATTTTTATGAACTTTAAAAGCCCAAAGCTAAGAATAGATATTAACTTTTCTCACCAATTTAATAAACATTTTTCATTTATTTTCTTTAACTTTTATCTGCCGACATAAACTCAATGTACCATAAAACAAAACACTAAGACTTGTCGCATGTAAAACCAAACTTTCTTGTCTTGTCTTCTCTCTTCTTCTTCTTCAAATCTGTTTTTCACTCTCTTTTCCCTATGAACATGGATATCTGCCATAATGCATCACTTTCTACCCTTGATGATCTTTTCCCTCCTCACAACATGGTTACTAATACTATATAATACTTTTATTCTTCTTTTTCTATCTTTCTTTTTTACATTTTTTTATTTTATTTAATAATTCTTGTTCTTTTCAACTTCTATAATTCTTGTTTTAATTTATTCTATGTCATATAATGTAAGTGCTAATGTTTGAATTTGAATTTTCAGGAAGTGGATTTTGGGATGGAGTGGTTATCAGTGTTTGTTGAAGAATGTTTTTCAAGTAAACCTACTTGTGTCATAGAACCTTCTTCTACTCTTCAAATTCAAACAACAACTACCAACAAAAATCCTTCAAACACAATGCAAAAGCCTCAACAAAACCAATCTTATATACATAATTTTGTTGTTCCCGGAAAACCAAGAAGCAAAAGAAAAAGACTTTCATCTCCAAGAACCAAAATTTGGTCATATTCATATCCTTCTCTTTTGAAACAAACATACCGGTTATCTGAAAGCGAACTCGGTAACCCTAACTTAAAAGTTGAGTCAAAAGTATCTGCAGTTGCACACAGAGATATTTTGAAAAAAGACAAAAAGAATAAAAGTGATGATGAGATGAAAGATGTTGTAAATGCAAGAAGGTGTAGTCATTGTTTGTCACAAAGGACACCACAATGGAGGGCAGGACCATTGGGACCAAAGACATTATGCAATGCATGTGGTGTGAGGTATAAGTCTGGTAGGTTGTTGCCAGAGTATAGGCCAGCAAAGAGTCCTACTTTTGTTAGTAACTTGCATTCTAATTCACATAAAAAAGTTTTGAAGATGAGAATGCAATCTAATTAAGTACTAGTTGGTTAGTGATTAGTCAAGTTATTAGGTAGTTGTTAATTAGTCATTAGTCAAGTTGTTTTTATTGGTATATGTTGTTTTTTCTTCATGTAGATTTGAGTTGGGAATTATGGAACGAAATTTGATGAGATAGATTATTAATGAAGTGGTTTCTATTAGTATAAGCTTGGGAACAATTTGTAGTAAACAAAGCTGGACTTTTTTTTTTTCGAATTTAGATATGAAGACTTAGGAAAGCAGCAGGTAATAGTGAAAATGTACACATTAAAAAAAAAGAATTTTGACATGTTTCAAGTAGCGTTGTAAAAATGGACTATCCGGTCCTAAACGGACCGGTTTTGATATGTTTGAGTTTTTTAGAATTTGGTCAAACATGTTTATTTTTGATATGGAATTCAAAAATTACTATCTGAATCCGATTCTGGATGAGTTTCAAGCTATCCGATTCTAAATGAGTTTTTTTTAAATAAAAAATAAAAATAAAAATGTCATAATATTTATTATAAATAAAATTAACAATTATATTATTTTAAGCATAATACATTTTTAAGTACTATATTATTTTTTATAAATACTATAATATGTTCTTAAATATAATACATGTCTAAATTGTACAAAATAATACTCGAATATTTAACATAACAGAAACTAATAGAATACGAGAAAAAAATGTTGATTATATTAATGTATAATATTCTAGAGTAAGACAATAAAATATTAATATAATTTTTTAAAATTTATAGTGATGTGGGTCTAATGGGCGGCTACCCACGACCCATATGAGCTAGTCTTAATGGATAGCAGACTTTTTAGGGCTGAGCTAAAAAAACTCTGAAAATATGGGCTCTAATTTTAAGGCAAAGCCTTATGATTTGTCGGGCCTGACACCCCTGTCCATATGGACTAGCCCATTTTGACAGCTCTAGTTTGAATTATAATTAATTTTGATTTAATAGTTAATTTTAACTTGAAGTTTGAATATGAGTAAATAACTTGAACTTCTAATTTAGAGCTTTAGATTTTAGAATTGGTGTTTTGTAACACTCATATATAAATACATATGCTTAGAAGATACATATTACACATGTTTGTAAGTTTGGTATTGAAATAAAAATAAGTTCCTAGTAGCACATTATATACATTACATGCCAAAACATAAAATTTAAAAATAATGGCATAATATACACAAGATGCTCCAAAGACTAAGAACTAGATCATATCAAATGATCTCAAAATAAAGTCTTCACAACAGAAACAATGTCATCCCAAAATAGCCAAGACAAGTAAAGATATCAAACGACCTTATCCCTAACCTTCACAGAACCAGAACCAGTTGATAAACATTCAATAACATGGGGTGGGATAATATTCCTAGTGGATTCCATATCTTATGGAATCTCTTGACTTTACAAGGTTCTAACCAATCCTAACTCAAGTCAAAAGGGAAGGGACACGACTTGAGTTCACAACTTCAACCTATATGAAAACATGTGGCTTGAGTTCAACAACTCAAACTATCACTAGTCAGAAACCTCACCAAGGCATCCCTTTTTCCCGTCCTCTCCTACATCTAAGAGATCGACATGAGTCATGGATCCTTGTAATGTACTTTGACATACGAAATGGATTTGGATCCAAGGGAAACATGGCCCACGTGAATCGTCACTTCTCATGGGTCGTACCCTATCACAAATCTATTTACTTGTAGGTTCCATTCGTATAATAAAAATCAAACATGTCAAAGTAATAGTGCGTACATTCAAGAGGAACTCTCTATATAAGCCTCCACTCCCGAAACGACACAACTTAGTGGAATTGGTTTCGACTATGTGAACACATACACAAACATGATTGTATTCGACAATCACAAGGCAACTCATTCACCTTATTCTCAAAGTAACACGAAGTTAACACATGTTCCATATAATATATCACCTCTCCACTAGACAACTACTTGTCAAGAATGCACAACTAGACATCAAATGTACAAGCATTGACATCTAAGTCATTTATCATTTCCTAGTTACATCACTAGGTCATTCCGTTGAATTGTGATAAGGTTTTCCTCACTTTTTCTTAATCCTTTTTAATCATAAAATCATCAATTTAATCAATCCACCATCCATAAATCCACATGCATATTACTCACAATAATCAATATAAACAATATATATTAACAATAAACGTGCATGTGAATCAACCAAGCAGGCATAAAACAAACTATGAAAAACACTGTCATGTTCGCAGTGCGAAGGCTAGGTGAAGTCCCTTCACCTTGAGTTCGCTGTGCGAACTTTGGGTTTGATAGGAAAATTTTGAGGCAGTAGTAAAAAAGGTCAATGGTTGCTGTGCAAGCACTGAGCGAATGTTCTCCTTCGACTCGCCTTTAGCTCGCAGTGCGAGCATGACAGACTGTCACGTTAGCCTTCAGCTCGTTGTGTAAGCCCCGCGAAGTCCAGAATTTCTGCATAGCATGGAAAATTCCAAAGGGGTTTTCAAACCCCATTCACCCAACCTCATTCCAAGCATTGATATCATCATTTCATGTATAAAACAACAGTAAGGCAACAATCCAACATCAACATCATAAACACAACAAGAAACATGATATTCCTATGGAAATGGGTAAATCGTACCAAATCCAATCTCACATATTTCTATCTATAATACTCTAACCTTAATGTATCTAACTAGAACCAGCCTCTAGGTACAAATGACAAAGTTGTTAATGATGAAGATAAGATGCTGAAGAGTGATGAACTTTTAAGTTTTCCTCTTCTAGGGTTTCCTCTTTCTCTTTACTTGTCTTCTTCCTCTTTTTCATTTTTCTCTTCATTCTTTCTACTCTTACTATCTTTTTCTTTTCTTTCTATTCTCCTCTTTAATACTTCTCCCATAAAATTAGAAACGTAACACAAGGTACTAACATGAAAAGTTAGTAATACTAACTTGGTAAATGTCCAATTTTATGAGTATCCAAAATGTCTCTAATGTACAAATTAATAAAACCTCGACTCATATAATATTAATTAAATCAAATATGAGCTTATTGGTTGCTCTATTTATCTCAATAGATAACTCTCATAGTATACCGGAATCTAGTTGATTTCAACTAATATTATTTGGAGCATTTTATCAAATACGGGGTATTACATCCTCCATCCTCTAAATAAAAATTCGTCCTGAAATTTAAATATTACCTGAAAAAGATGAGGGTAAGCATCCCGCATCTCATACTCAAGCTCCCTAGTAGCATTACCTGGATGTATTTCATCCCGTTGAACCTTCACAAGAGGAATCTCTTTGTTTCTCAATAACTTAGTTTCTCTTCCCACAACATGACTTGATAGATGTTCAAAAGTTAAATCTGTTTTGTCATACCTCAAATTTCCCCCCTATATTACATCATCATTCTAGGAGCATCAACATTGATTATTTAACCTTAACCTATTTCAAGTTTGTCTTTGTCAAGATGCAGATGAATTAGGGTTTTCTTACAATCAAGAAATCAGGGTTTCTAGGGATTGGTCAGTCAAGGTTTTGGATTGATCCTCCATATAAAAAGTCTCTATATCATGAAGGATGTCACATGTGATCAAGAATGATTCCAATTTGAGGTTGTCACCAAGAGAATGGAAGCAGTGCAGTGCAAGAACCCTAATCAGGGTTTCTTGTTGGAAAAGTTAATTGTAGATTGACTTTTGGTCCAAAAGGTTTTCCAATGAGGGAATTAGGGTCCATGATTCTCATATGACCCAAGTAAGTATACCCAAGAAGTTTCAAGGCCTCAGGGAACCTATAACATCAATAGTTTATTCAGAGATTTTCAACTGTTCGGTTCATCTATCAAGAAAGTCAACTCATTTACCAATAGGGTTTTATCCCAAATTTAAGCCAAAATTGTTTCCAACATCATTTCAAATTTATTTATGAAGTTTGGTTGAGATTTAATCAAGAATTGATAGATAAATTGCAAATCAAGAAACAAGGGTAAGTGAAAAAACCCTAATTTTTTTTATCTAACTTTAAATGGTCATAACTTCCTAACCACACATCCAAATGGTGTGGTTCAAACTTTGTTGGAAAGGTCTTAAGGAGCATTACCAAAGTGTCTTACCCATGAAAAAAATGAATGCATTTGGAGTTATGAGCTCATCAAGTTGTGAAGGATTTTAAACACTTAGAAATTTCAAGGTTTATTGACTTGTAAGTCAAGAATTCAACATTTTCACAAGGGGTTTTAACCTAGTTTCGAGTGGAATAGGTTCCTAACTCAAAAAGAAATGTTTTAGTAACTAATGTGGGATTTATAAAAAGTACAAGGGGGTTCCATAACTCATCATGGTTAGGGAGAACCAAAGGTTACAAGTAGGCAAAAACTCACTGCTGCAAAACCAGTTCAGCATGAATGTCTTGATTCTAAAGCTTCTCAAATCAATTCTAATCAAGGTTTAAGCCTAATTTATGATATTAAAATTTCTAATGGAAGTGTTTAGCATAATATCCCACAAATTTGGCACAAGAATTGAAGAAAATTATTGTTTAATGCAAGTTGCAAATGTGAATAGTGAAGAAAGAGAAAAATGGTGGTTGCCCTCATCAAACCATTAACTATGCTGCATCCAGTCACTTTCTATCCTCCCAAGCATGATGAAAATGACCTCTAGGGTATGGATAAGCTCTTGTTAGGGTGGCTTGAGGTCATTAATGAAGATTTGCATTGGTTTCTACAAGATTTCCAAATGTGGAAGGCCAAAGTTGGCATTTTGCATCAATCTGCCCATGCCTCTCCCTCAAGACTCTTGACTATAAATAGAACCTCACTCTCACATCCAAAGAATACGAGTTCCATGCTATAAACAATCTAGAACTCTCTCCTTCACTCAATCATCAAGTTCTTGCAAGTTTGCACCAAATTTCCAAACCTCCCAAAACCTGTTTTGCCAAATCATCTCCAAAACCATTTCCAAACATTTTCCAAATCAAACAATACT